TGTGGGAGTAGAAGTTGTTGGACGGGAAGCCGCATTGCTGTAGAATAAACCGGAGCTCCTTGGTGAGGCTTGAGCGGGTTAGCCATGAGCCAGATTGAGAGAACGTAAATAAAGGAAGGCTTGCTGGAGGCTGGGCTTGGAGGATGTAGTCTTTCATCGCCATCGCAGAACAGATGGGTGAGGTGGACTTTGCTATGGTGAGGGTGCATCCTTGGCGGAAGGGGTCGGTTTTGGATTGTTTTATCCTAACCCGCATAAGGGATTGCAAATAACAATAAAAAATTCGCAGAATTGACCATCAGTCAACCAGGAAAGGACAGCGGAACGGACCCTGGATGTCTCAAGCCGTTAAAGAACATTTTCATTGTTAAAGTAAACGCGGCTTAATTATTTTGTACCATTCTATCAAAAATTTATCTGGGTACAATTTTACCTGGTATGTTATTTTTTGCGGAACTTCCAAACCTGGGATTTTCTAATTTTCGTCAGCAAAATGCAACTTTCCTGAAGTTCTGAAATTTTTATGGCATTTGTATTGATTTTGATTACTTGGACACATTTCAATGGTTTACGGACATGAGTTTGGAGAAATTAAGGAATCCAAGATGGCGGCAGTTTGGACAGCATTGTGTAATTGTCAATTTCCGTGATGCTATATTCCCATGTTGCTTATGCCAAGGAGGACGTTTTTGGACGTACTATGCACTCTCTAAGCTTCGTTATTATCGCTTAAACATTCTGGAAATTACGAGTGGGAGGCCGAATCCCCCGTTGGCCGTAAATGATCAAACTACTTAATTTATGATACGGTCAGCCATCGCTATAAATAGGATTCATCGAATAATTACGATTCTAATTTCGTTCTTTTAAAGTTTGTTGAAAATCCACGAACTTGTTTGATTCCATGAAATTGAAAAAAAAAAAAAAAACAATTCTCCAAATATCTAGGTATTTGGCTTTCAGAAAATTATTATAAGAAAGAAGCGTGCCAATTATCTTTGATTCTTCACTTAGCAGAGAATATTTATGAGAGTAAAATTCCGATAAACAACAGCCAAAATGTTGTGACACTGAAGCAGAACATGACCGAGCTTGAACCCGACGGAACACTGATACTGTTTGAGGGCGTTGAAGTCCAGGAAAGAGTGGACCTCTTTGAGTTCTGAAGACAAGCATAATACTGATCAAAATCAATCTCTGTAATGCCGCAAAGTTGCCCAGTTTTACATTCCACAAGGCGGCATAATATTCCTTCTTATTTGAACAATCTTAATGTGTACCAATTTTCTAAACAAATTAAGCTATATCTGTTCTCTGAACAACTCCAAACTAACACGAAGTAACTAACATTATGGACATTCAATTCCTTCGAATATCCACTGCTGATATAGTCCGGTCTGTCTCCCTGTTTTTGCACTTTATTTACTTGCCTCTTTCATTCCCTTGGTCTTATTTTGTTTTGCACTTAAAAGGCAGGGGAATAACTCGAAAACAACACGGTTAATTTATCGCCCTGGCTCGACTTTACATAGCATTTCCCTAAAGTTATTGTAATTTTCTTCGCAAATGTGTATTAAGTGTCAAGAGTAAATAAGGCATTGTTGTTGTTGTTGTTACCATCTTGGATTTCGCTATTTCCCACAAAAGTCGTAAAATAACGTGTATTGAGGGAAAATTATCTAAAAATGTACTATAATGCAAAGCTTTAGTAATTTTGTAGGATGACAGGGTAAATTATCGGTGGCATCCAACCCCCTTCCCCTCCTTGTAAGACTTCTAGCCTCCCCTCCTCCCCTCTCCTCTTGTATGTCGAAGGTTTGAAATTCTTCTTTTGATAGTGACGGGCTGTCCCAGTTTCCAAGGGATGAAAATTTCCAACCGGGATGAAAATTTTCCCATGTGAACACTCCAGCCCGGGTAACGAGCACGAAACTTTAATTTGTGCGCTGTGTCTATTTTCACTTCAGAAGTATGTAAATAGACTTTATTAGTAAAGTAAGAGTCAACAAAGCTACAGTTGTCTCGAAGGATACAACTTTTTATGTCAGCATTTTGGTTTTGTTTCTTGAATTTCATCCCGGTCGACTGGGCTGAAATTTCCTCTGACTGACACTACAATTTGTCCCGGTTACCGAGTTCATAAGAAGAGGCCCTTACAATTGAAATTTCGGTTGTTTTGAATGTTGTCATCAGATCCCTTTCAATCGCAACGTACACAAAGACAAAAGGTGCTAATAAAGCGCAGTAATTCAGCATTACCCCTTATACCTTGCGGTAAAAACCTACAGGGGAAGGAAATGCTCAATGATTTATCGAATTTCGTCATAACAGCACGGGGAACGAGACAGGTGACACAAAGTTGACTGTAATCACTAAGCGCAAGTTGCTGTGATCAGAAGATGCTTTCCTCTTGGCGCCAAAAGTGTTTTTTTTTTTTTGTCTTTTAACAAGAGATAAGTTTTTAAAACAGATTAAATTTAAAGTCTTATTTTACGGCCCAAATCTTAATCTTGATTAGAAGAATAAAAAAGTATGTCTGCTAATATTTGAGTTCCATGTAGTTGAATAGTAATTGTTTATATTCCAGCTGTTTCTGTTGATGGAAGGAACCGGTTTTTCCTCTTGCGACATGAAACAAAGGGACAAAAAATTTGAATGTAATAGTGGAAAAAAAAATGCATACTAAAATCACTTGCGTGTATATTGTCGAGACCATGGAAAGCTTCCAAAAAAATAAGCAAGAAAATGAGTGAGTTTGTTTTAAATATTAACAAGAGCAATTTTTTTTCTCTTGATATTAAACATGTAATAGGTTTATAATAATTTTGTCTATCACTTTTTTGCTTGTCGAAACGAGAAAAATTAAGTGAATACTGTTCGTTCAAATAAAGCTACATAAAACACCAGGTGCCTCGGTTTTACTTAAACGTGCGATACTGAACCAGATGTAACGCAAATGGATTTTCTTGTTTTCAATAAAGAAAATCTTTAGAGAAGGTTATCTCGCAAGCTAAATTGTCGGGTTATCTTGTACAGATATGTAATCATTCATCTTAAGAACCTTTGTTGCCTAAATTATTATTTAAAATTTCTGTTTTTATGAAAGAAAACCTTTAATTAACGGTGTAAGTGCCCCTTTTAATATATCGTGGATCATTTGTTTCTTATGTTTGAGTGCTCATTACTAATATTGTTTACTAATCCTTTTGCCTTACAAACTAACGAGGGTAGTATTTTTTATCTAAAACTCTAACCGTTAATTTTCACAATTGCGCAAAGCTCTTCGAAAATAAGTTTGGACTCGAGCACTTACAATATTGAACAGAATGAAAAATAAAATCACCTTACAAACGTTAACAATTCCTTAAATTTATATTTTTGCGTTATCAGGATGTGTAGCTTATCTCAATGACATAAAGTGTAGGCCCTATCATACCAAACATGCGGGAACTACACCAAACACTGGTACTTACATTCTCGTTTCCAAAGGCCTCCTTTTGGTCAGCACCAAGAATCGCGACCTCTGGACTGGTCCAGCACCGCAAAACTGCGATTCACGGACGTTGCGCAAATCTGACAGATCTGATTGGCTGAGAATTCGAAACGAAAACTCTGCGTATGCTCAGAAAATCGGTCGGACCAGAGGTCGCGATTCTTGCTGCTGACCAAAAGGAGCGCGGCCTCTGGCAACGAAAATGTGGTACTTAGGAAAGAAGATTTCCGGTCCATCCTGCGCACTCTCATGAGTTTGTTTACGTTTTTGTTTTGCCTCATGTAAAACGACGAAAAATGTAACCTTTCGCAGCTACTTACAGGATGTAAATTCAAAGTTTACAGACAACTTTTATTAAGATGCAAAGCTTTATGCTTCTTTCTCTCTGATATTACTGGATGAAACAAGTTCGTAGCTGTAAAAATCAATCTGTCAGGAAAAGAATTTTGAATGCCTCAAAGATGAGGCAAACGGTCCGAAACGATAACATCAATTCGCATTCCATCGAGTGAGACATACATAYATACATACAKTCTTTATTCAAGACGCAAAGTTACAAAAGTATACATATAAAAACAAAAGATAAAAAAGAAAAGGCGTCTCGAAAATACCGACTGTAAGCCCTGGGCTTCTTTAACTTCATAAGGGGTTTGGGATGGGCTTATAAACAGAGGGGCTTATATCCGAGGGGACTCATAAGCAGAATAAAAAAAAAAATGTTTTTAAATGAGCTACAACTTTGCTGTTCGAAATACGATTTTTATAAACAGGTTTTCAAGTCACCTTTTACACGTATTGCGACCCTTTGAGAAAATACCTTTCAATCCCGCTGGCTGAGAAGAGAATATTACTTAAATTGAAATAGTATCTTAAGACGAAAACGACAATCAGTATCATTTATTTTCAGTTTGAAATGTGGATGAGTATAACTAGTTCAAGCTTAAAAGAACTCAAGTAATTAGTAATGAAATTCGTTCTTGTTTGTGCGTCAATCAAGAAAACGAGGTACAATTACTCCTTTATATATGCCGTCTTTGTACTTCTCTTGCTCTTATGAGGACTCATTGCGGCGGTCTGGCATTTCTTGGTCGTTAGTGGACGAACTGTCAGACGAAGGCCCGACAGAGCGACCGACAAGAGCGAATATTTTCTTGTACTCTGCTCGGAATGTGCTGTTCATGACGCCGTAGATGATGGGGTTGATGGCACTACTCAAGAACCACAGGCAAGTGGCGAAGATGAAGACCTGAGACGAGAAGATAGCGATTCGTTTAAGTTATAATCCAATCAGGTTTAAACAAGGAGTAATTCTAACGAGCCTACGACCTTGTGTGGTCATATAACATGTATATGATAAGAAGCCATATGCATGCAATTAAAACAAAAGTTTAAAACTCTGCTTCCATTTGCAAAGTATTTAAACGAAAAAATATGCTATTTTTCTTAAGAAGACTATATCTCTAAGTTTTAAAGAATTGAAAAACAATTGACTGAACTCCAGATCAAGCTGTTGATTCGAGTTTTCGTATCTGGTTAGTGAGTAACAGGATGACATCGTGCAGCGAAGGACAATTTTACTGCAAAGATTATTTAATTGCATACGATTGTACTCCTTGAGAAAAGAAGATCAGGAGTGATTACAGCTACCGTGTGGCACGAAACTAATTTTTGCGATATTTTCGCAGTTTTTTCCACGATCCACAAAAATATTTGCCGCAAAAAAAAAAAAAATTATATTACCAGCTAAGATCCGTCAGAAAGGAACTTCAAAAACTGATAATTTTTATTGCTGATTTTGTATTTGTTCAAATAAAACAGTTGGTTTATGATTAGAGCAAGGACAGTAAAGAACTCTCTCCAAAGGTTTGACGGATTTTAAACTGTGTTACTTGTTTTCTTCTTTCTTAAGTTTAGTTTCTCTTTCTTTAAACGTTCGCAGTTTTGAGTGCGAAGATGAAATTAAATATTTGAATGCACCAGTTTAATTATTAGATGAGAGGAGCTTATACTGTTTTTTCTTCAATGCCCAAATCAAAGTGAAATTTTCTTACCTGGCGAGGCAGAAGAAGTGGGTTGATTTTGTCCATTGTGTCCATGACCTCTGACGGTATCCAGCAGATGGTAAAAGCCAAGACGATGGATGCCACTGCCTTAGCCACGGACACTTCTTCAGTGTGGTTACCGGCCTGAACGTTGGCTTGGTTCAGAGTTGGAGCAACAGCTGCGGCGTGATGTTCCACAGCGCGAAAAACCTTCCAGTAGCAGATCACAATCACCGCGTACGAGAAGACGAAGGAGCCATAGAGCCAAGCGTTGAACAAGTAGATGGCAGCGGGCTTCACCATTCGCCTCCAGCACAGCAAGTACCCCGGGCAGAAGAAGAAGTCATCTAAAGACAGAAGATTGGGGAGGCCGTTGATGATCAGCGCTACGGCCCAGGTGGCGGCGATGAAGAGCAGAGTGTACTTCTTCGTGAACATCTTCTTGTAGAGGTTCCGCTTCTTGACACACAGGTACCGATTGAAAGCGGTCAGAGCCATGAGGTAGACCGACACTTGGGCCAGTACGGCCATTGCAAAAGCGTGGGCTTTGCAGACGGTGTCGCTGAAGCGCCTTTTACTGTGGATAGCGGCGTCTACAGTCAGCGGCATGACGCTAGCAGCGGCTAACAGGTCTGTCAAAGCCAGTGCGACAATCAGCATAGTGGTAGAAGTACGAAGCCGGGGATTGCGGTAAACGATGAAGCAAAGGATAGCATTTCCCGCTAGTGCCGCCACGTTGATGATTAAAAGGACTGTGGACTCGATCACAGTTGTTGGTTTACTTCTAGCCCCGAGTTGTTCTTGCAAAAGACCCAGCACATCGACGCTGGCGTCTCCGGGGTCAATGTTGTTCATGATTCAAACATCTACAGTGTTTGAGGTGAAATTCAAGACGATCAAGTGCGATTTCAGAAAATCGTTCTTCTTTACCAACTCGCTTTGTCGCTAAACTGCGAATAGGCCAAAAAGAATCCTTGTTCTTGTTTACGTTAAGAGCAGAACCGGTGATGATCAGTGCTCATTTGGGTAGTTTATGTAAAACACTAAGAAAAGGTCGGATTTCCCACCTCTCCGCACTTCCGTACATACACGTCTTAAAGAAAAAAATCCGACGACATTCAAATTTAAAATATTGTATAATCAGATTTTTGTTGTAGAGTACGTAAACGGCCAACCTATTATCAGACAAAATGCGTTTCCATTCCTTCAGCTGCCACTCTCAGAGACTATCACTTTCTTTGCTATGCCTTAACTATATGTATCCTGCTTCTCACTTATGTCGACGAACTTACTTTATGTGAAAAAGAGTAAATAAACAAATTCAAAACGAGAATATACATGTATTTAGTACGTTTTACACGCAGACTACCAACACCTGCATCGACTACGTCAAATTTCATTGATAGCGGCTAGCTTAATTAAGGCTTATATCTGATGAAGTAAGCATTTGGGGTTATTCCGGTGCGATTTTGCCAAACAATGTGCATGTGATGTTAACAAAAAGTTGTGTTCTTTGTTTTGTTACTCAGTATTCGTAAAGATTATTAGTTCTTCAAAATTTGAATGGTCTCATTAGACGGTTTCGAGGAAATGAAACGAGCAATAACAGCCTCCACTTTCATATTTACAAAAAAAATTCTCACAACGCGGCTCATGCTCTTAGTCTCATTTCTTGAATTTCGGGGCATCTGACCGCTTCACTCACCTTGGTTTATTTAGGCTTCTGTCATCAGTGGTATGATGTGTTTAAAACTTTGTCGAACCAAAAAGGTTGCTAAAATCATTTAAAATCAAGAAAACTTGCTCGTCTAAATTACATCTCCTTAGCGCTCCGATCGTATGCTTGGAAAACAAAATAGTTTTCTTTGGCAAAAAACGAGAATATTTTCCAAAAACAAGGTGGCTGCACCTTTCTTCTTCATCAAACAGACATGCGATCATGCAACTCATGAAATCGCTAAATATAAGGCAAAAAATATTTTGTTTACTCTCAAGAAATTACATACATGAGAGTCATTATATTCGTCTTGAAGCTTATTGAAAAGTCTAGAACGGTAAATATAAATGATTCTGTGGGATTCTTATTTTCGACTTGACATATAACAGGCTCTTTATCCTTTTATTCCGCATTCTTAATTTGCATGAAACAATAGACCATCTCCGACTTGGGCCTCTGTTTCAAAACGAGTGCTCGTGCAAAAACTTAAAAATCAAAATGACTTTGAATTGCACGAAAATGATCCTGTAAGGGGAAAAGAATCCTCTTATGAATTACACTGCGGAGGCAAAATGCAACTCGGTAGTGGCCTGTTCGATTCGTAGACCTGTCGAAAGCTTGCGCATAGACGTATGGTAAAGTTGTACAACGTAAGTTTTCGGGAATCCCCATTTTCTCCGACGTCTTGTACAAAGCTCATTTTGTAGTGGTACTATGACGGAAATCGCATCTTTCCTATCTAAGTCATTTTAAAACATAAACATGTAGTCTGTATGAGAAGAAAAACGCCGTTTACTATTTTCAAAATCTCTTTTCGGTCCAGAGATATTCAAATTTTCAGATATACAAATAAGTTAAGTGATGACGTCATGCACTCAACCAAATTTTGATCAAATATGATAAAAAAAGATATCTCAACCAATTTGCATCAGAAATGTTTGATTCTTAACAGTAAGATTCTACTTAATGTGCTCCACAATACGAGCTTAACAGTTTTGTTCATATGGCAACAAATTGGGTTCCAGACCTCCCCAATATTAAAGGCTTTTCTGGCCACCTTTGGCGTTCCATTTTGATATTTGCTAATGGTGTCTCATATGTATGATCCAGCAAGCATATAAATATGTTAGCCCGAGTTTGTGGTCTCGTTTAACTTTTCTCGGGCTGAAAATCACTAACATATTGAAATCAAGTGCGTGTGGACTGGAAAAGAGTGAGTTGCCATGGGAACAGAATATTTTTGTTATAGCCGTAGGTACGTTTCCTGTAGGACTATTAGCCTACCAAGTTTCAATGGTCTGCGCTGCAAATTGGCCAAGATAGCTCTACTTATATGCTTGATATAATACTGAGTTGAGTGTATGACGTCATCAGTTTTCTCATTTGCATATTTTACACACTTTTTAAACTTAAATATCTCCGGAACTAATGCAGATATTTGCAAACGGTAATCGGCGTTTTTATTCTTTCATGGAATTCTACGTGATACACCTAAAAAAGATCAAGGGGTAAAAATTTGATCATAGTACCACTGTAACATAGCGCGAGAGTGTCCGAGTCTGCTGGGCAAATATTGAAGGTACGAGTCGTGCACTGCGAGGGCGGTACAATAAAAACCGACAATCGTTTTGTTTACTAATCTCACTGCACTCAATGCTCAGGGCGATGTTCTCCCGGTATACTGAATAACGGGTGAATACTTAATGTTATAACAATATATCAAACGTATAACGCCAGAAAGTTTTCCCGGTTCAATATTCTCATAAATATTGTGCCGGTGACATGACATTCTGATTGGCTGATTTCAGTTTTTAGCCCTGCTATTATTTCTTACTTTTGTTGTCGTAGAAAATTTGAAAGCTGTCACAGCGTTGATGAGCTATAAAATGGCCAGTAATTAGGTCAGCATGTTACAGGTTCTCCTCCGCAGAGGATCAAAGGTGTTCCTGGGGGTTGGGAAAATCCCCTGAGCAATGTGACCACATTCGCAGGGTCGTGCCTGCTTTCACCTCGCACTGTGGATTTCTATAACGAAAACCTGAACTTCTGCGGAGGAGAAAGAGATAAGTTTGAAATAGCGTATCAATTACCAATGTAAATTGAGTTTGCATAGGCAAGTAAGTAAGTAAGCAAGTAACTTTAATTACGTTTCAAATACATCTAGCGCGATAGGCGCTAATTGGGGACACAGTATAAAAATATTTCTTTCAAACAAAAAAATAAGACTCACCGTTTGATTTATCGTGCCAAATTTAGTAAATATGCCAAGTTTCATAAGAGACTATTTTAAACTCCTCATTATATGAAATAACAGTTGCCATAAAATATGTTTTTCGGAAATTCTGGTCACGTGATTAAAACGCGCGGAATTTTTTAGACGGCTTTAAAACTATATTTCTCCTCATTAGTGAGTCATATTTTGGTCAAGTTGTAGATTTTTTCAACACAAAAGTTTGATTGTTTCCCGTTCGACGAAATAAAACGAAACTTCGATGAGAGGTTTCGATGTTTGCTCTTTCCATTAGCTCTGATAGTTTTTCAGTATCTTTGCTGGCCTGCGAGGCAGACGTTTAAAGCAGAGGGAGAGGGGAAAACAAGAAGCAAGAGGCGCGGAGTGGAGGGAGGGAGGGAGGGGGACGCCTACAAGGATGCCATTGTTTCCGTCATTCCATCTCTTAATTTAAAAGGATTCAAAACTAAATAAGCTGTGGAATGTCTGACTGTCAAAATGATCGCAGTTCCCCGTCGGGTTCCCCATTTTTTTTCCTCGCCTACTTGCCGCGAGAAAATGGTAGAATATAAAGACAGTTTACAACTGAAAAAGTTATTGGTCGCACTTGAAACAACAACAAAAAAATTTAATAATAAAACGTCAATTATCTCTCAATTATTTCTCAATATGCAGAGAGTATATATTTAACAGAGCAAAATCCCGATAAACACCAGCCAAAACGTAACACTGAAGCAGAACTCGACGGAACTTGAACCCGACGGAACACTGATACTGTATGAGGGCGTTACACTTGAAGTCGAGGAAACAGTGGACCTGCTTGAGCCCCGAAGACAAGCATCATACTGATCAAAATCAATTTCTGTCACGCCGCAAAGTTGCCCAATTTTACATTCTTCATCACATTGCTCGCCTCCAGCACTCACAGAGTTGAACAAGTAGTATTTGAGAAAGTTAGAGCTCCCTTGAGGCTTAAAAGTCTGCACCAAATCGTGAAGAGACTGCGGGCTCACATCTGGTATATTGAAGTCTTCAGTGGCTTTGTATTCTAATAGCCAATCGGGTTCGCCCATCAAGTTGGCTTGCGTCAGGTTCAAATAGTACTGCCAAACGTCCTGTTGAAAAGAAAAGATATAAAAGCCCGGATAAGGATGAATATAGTCTGTCCACAGACCCTCTGTTTTGTCTTGAGTTCGTCGAGATCGCAAGCTTGACGAAATATTTTAAAACACGGCGCGTGGGATACACGCGCTTAAGTGCAAGGAGTAGCTTTTTTGCCCTCGCATCGCTCAAGCTCTCGAAGAAAAATACCTCGTAGCAAAAAAATAAACGACTGTGGACGGACTGGGATGAATAACGATGCTTTAAATCCTGCAGCTAGGTTTGAGAATTCAAGCTTCCTTGGAGTTCGCTTCTTAGCAGCGTATTAAGGGTGCAGTCGAACAGGAAAGTTTTTCGGCAGGTTTAACTTAAGCTCCATCCGTGCACCTGAAGGTCCGTCCATAAATTTATTCGCCTACAGTCCTGGCTAAAAGTCCCTTGGACACTTGACAAACTGACAACTGGTGACGCATTATTTTGAAGTGGGAAGTCATTATTTAATTTGCCGAACCCCCTTCCCGCAAAACAATGGTGGAATACTGTGTCTACTTTGAATGAATCAACATCAGCACAGTGTTGGGTGTGGGGAGGGGGAGGTGGACAGAAAGACCATACATTGGTAAAAGTGCAGTGTCCTAAGACTTTTGACCAGGATTGTAGCCGTTCCTGCACCTCACTACTTGGACGGTCAGTTACTAAGTCATAAATTCAGGCGGATCAGCCCCCTCATCAAAAGTAATTCCACCTTTCTTATTAGCAAATTCGTCGTTTTAAAACGAAGATGACCTCCTTACCTTGACATGTGTAGTGTTCCTGTCGTATTTGTACAGACGGACACCAGGATTGTTGTAACCAACTGTCGGCAGTACTGTCTTCCAAGGCGTTACGGCTGGACACAGGAAAATAGAACTTCTTGGAACTCCTACGGAATAGGTACAAATCAAATATATTAATCCTCGGACGTGCACGCTATCCCGAGGCCTGCTCTACAAGATTACAAATTTTCGATGGTACAAGTGATATCACATGACGTCATTAAGTCGGCCATATCGAATCCGCCATCTTGGACTTCGCTATTTTCTGAGAAAGTCGTAAAATAACGTGAATTGAGGGGAAATTATCAAAAAATGTACTAGAACGCAAAACGCTAGAAATTTGCAGGATGACAGAGTAAATCATCATTGGCATCCAACCCCCTTCCCCTCCTTGTATGGCGTCCACCCCACCCCCCTCCCCTTCCCTCCTTGTATGTCAAAACTTTAAAATTGTTCTTTTGATAGTAACGGGCTGTCCCAGTTTCCAAGGGATGAAAATTTCCAACCGGGATGTTCACTCCAGCCCGGGTAACAAGGACGAAACCTTTTTCACAAAGTAGCTTCGCTTTCGCAACAGTAACGGCCAAAATGGCATAGTTTGTGCGCTGTATGTATTTTCACTTTAGAAGTAAGTGAATAAAGTTTAGTAGTAAAGTAAGAGTCAGCAAAGCTACAGTAGTCGCGAAGGATACAAAATGTCGCCATTTTGTTTTTGTTTTTGGTATTTCATCCGGTCGACCGGGCTGAAATTTCCCCTGAATGACATCACAATTTGTCCCGGTAACCGCGCCAGCCCAGTTAGCGAGCTCATATGAAGAGGCCCTTGAAATTGAAACTTCAGTTGTTAAAATGTTCTCATCAGATCCCTTTCAATCGTAACGTACATAAAGACAAGATGTGCCGATAAAGCACAGTAATTCAGCATTACCGGCTTATATCTTGCGCTAAAAACGAACAGGGGAAAAATTCTCAATAATAAGAGTATTATCGAATAGCGCGAGAGGAATAGACCAGTAGCCTGTTCCAGGCTCTCGGTCAGTGGGGACGTCGTTGTGCGGCCGCTTTCTCAACCGTCCCCACTCAGTCCGGACCAGGCCAATAGATAAGATGCTTTCCTCTAGGCGGCAGAAGTGTTTTTTACAGATAACTGTTGTTTTTTTTTAATAAGAGAGAAGTTTAATACTATAAATATAATTTACAGACGTCTTCCTTTACGGCCCAAATCTTAATCTCGACCAGAAAAAGAAGAAAATACGTCTTTTGTAGTTGAATAGCAATTGTTTATCTTCCAGCTGTTTCGGTAAATGGCTCAAAGAGAAACTATTGTTTACCCCCGAGTTTCTGCGCGTTTCCTGTGGAAGGAATCGGTTTTTCCACTTGCGCCATGAAACAAAGGGACAAAAATGGTGAATGAATTAGCGGGAAGAAATGCATACTCTTAAAATCACTTGCGTGTATATTGTTGAGACAATGGAAAGCTTCCAAAAACATAAGCAAGAAAATGAGTGAGTTTGTTTTAAATATTAAACATCAAATAGATTTACATAAAAGCTCCTTTTGTCTTCGGGTGTTTGAAGTATAAAAAATCGCTTTTTTGCTTGTCGAAAAAAATATCTAAAGTGAATACTGTTCCTTCAAAACTACACTGATAAAACGCCGGATGCCCCAGGTTTACTAAAGCGTGAGGTACTGAAGCAGATGTAACACAAATGGATTTTCTTGTTATCAATAAAGAAAATCTTTAGAGAAGATAATCTCGTAAGCTAAATTGTCGGGTTATCTCGTAAAGATACGTAATCATTTATCTTAAGAACCTTTGTTGCCTAATCTATTGTTTAAAATTTCTGTTTTTATGAAAGAAAACCTTTGATTTAACAGTGGAAATACCACTTAGGGGTATGTCAACATGATGGAACCCCCGCTTTTAATACATCCTGGATCACTTTGGAAAGAGACTTCAAAGGGAAATATATTTCATGTATCACTTTTTTCCTTATGTCGTTATGTTCATGCTGTTATGGTGCTATTATGTCATTATGTCAGGATGTTCACACTGCAAACATACCGACATAACGTCCATCTTATTTCGTTATGTCATTATGTCGCTAGCGAGAACTGGGCTTAACACCTGCATCGACTGCATGATGATCTTCCTCCGCCCATCAAAGATTTAGTTGAAACAATTTTATCTTAGAAGTAATTTTAAAGCGACAACTTCTTTCTTAGCGTGGACCTTTGAAAATCCTCATTTTCTCCGACGGCTTTTACAGAGCTCAGTTTCGACTAACATAGCGCGAGAGACTCAGAGCTCAGTTTCGATTAACATAACGCGAGAGTGTCTCAACTGGGAGAATAAGGAAGGCAAGAGTCGTGCACCACGAGGGCGGTTCAATAAAGACCGACGATCGTTTTTTGTATGGTTCTCACTGCACTCGATGCTGAGGGCGATGGACCCGGGAGTTCTCGCGGTACAATAACGAGTGAATACTTAATGTTATAACAATCAAATATCAAACGCATAACGCCAGAAAGTTTTCCCGGTTTAATATTCTCATAAATATTGTACCGGTCACATGACATTCTGATTGGCTGATTTTATTTATTAGCCCTGTTATTATTTCTTACCTCTATTGTCGTAGAAAATTTTAAAGCTGTCACAGTGTTGATGTGCCAGAAAATGGCCAGTGATTACGTCAGCATGTTTTAGTACTACAGCAATGTAGCGCTTGTTAAACTGGGGGTAAAACCACTTCTTTCGTGGTGCTCTTTCAAAAGCGCCAGGCGGCACATGACCAATAATGAAGACCTGAAAAGTAAAACAGCAGATAAAACCAAAATAGACTCGAAAAAGTCAGAAAAAAAGATAAAAATAAAGATTCTCAGGGATTTGGCATGAAGTCCTTATAAAATTCAAAATTCCACTAAAACAGAATTTTTTTGATCAGAGTACTTTATATAAATGAACCTCATTGAATATAAGGTTGCGATAGAAAAGTCAAGTGACATGTCGAACAATACCAAAATGTTCCGTGATAAATGTTAAGAAAAATCACTTTCGAAAAGTCACAAAGTTTGCTCACCATGGCTTGTAAGCTGTCGAAGTGAGACAAGTTCTTTCTCCTCCGCAGAGCGCAGAGGCTCAAAGGTGATTTGGGAGACTGGAACAATCGGCTGAACGATGTTACTGCAGGCGCATGGTCGCGCCTGCTTTCACCACGCACAGCAGATCTCTGTGACAAATGCCCTAACCACCGCGAAGGAGAAAGAGACAAGTTTGAAGTAGGTGTGGGAAATTTACTCCTCATCCAGGCTAAAGAGGGTTAATTATCTTTTTTCCCAAAATACTGTGCTATTTCATTTTCCTCAGTCTACTTGTTGTTGGCATCCAGCCAGCTTGTTCGCTTAGGCAGCTCGATGATTAACTACTTAATAGCTCGATCTTAGGGTGTTGCACGGGAAGAGAGCGTGACCGAATGAGTTTGGGCAATTAAAATCAGGAGCCTTCTTCTTCGCTCAGGTCTTTCATCTTGTCTCTAGTTAAATTTTTTCGAACTCCACTTCTTGTAAACAGCGTCATTTTCCTTCAACTGACAACTGACAACTGACAACTGACAACTGACAACTGACAACTGACAACTGACAACTGACAACTGACAACTGACAACTGACAACTGACAACTGACAACTGACAACTGACAACTGACATAAATGGGTAGGCCAATTCAAGTTCATAAGCACATAAATCGAGACTACTACAACAGTTATTGCTAGCTTGAACACACCTTTTCGTTAATGCTACTTGCATTCGTCAGTATGTGATCTAACCATGCAAACTGGCCGGCAGGATCAGTAATGTTTCCTGTTAGCCTGTCGTTTGTGTAATAATAAACCGTGTTGAGACTGACGAGGCGTAAGCCAGGCTTGATAAGAACCGTGTAAAATCCGCCTGAAGAAAAGTAAACGTTTGAGGTGTTATATGATTATTTCAATTACTTTCATAGAAACAATCACTCCTACAGAACTAAATATATTTAGCTAAGTCAATTTACTGCCATCTACCTTTTTTAAACGTATCCACAGCTTCTTGCGGAAGCCACCGACTCCATAAATCTCCAACAGCCGTGTAAATGTCATTCGGCTTTGGCGGCATCAGATGTTTGGGGTGGTAGTCATGGTTACCGAGGGCCGGATAAACCGTCGTATTTGTGAAGACTGTGCTTAGCAGGGCTGTCATATTCTTGACAGTTTCTATCACTTCCTCTGTGCTCAGTTCACTGTTTGGCACGTGAGGCATGTCATCGCTGTAACGACAAAGAGAGATTTGACAGTGATTTGCGAATGACAGTTTGTAAACTTTGTCTCAATATTTTTTTAAATTAAAGATTAAATTATGCATGGATAAAGACTGAATTATTTTGCAAGAGAAATTTTTGTCCTCACAGATCTCGCCAACGAAACTGCGGCTCCACGATTTCAGCGCAAGAAAAAACATTACAGGAGACCATGATCATGACAGCATATTGTATCATTAATTCGAGTGCATCCTAAATTAAGATATACTGTGACGACTAAAAATTGATTGTGGCGTTTCGTCCTGAACACCCTTAGTGAGACAAAAATAGGTGATTTACACCGCTAAGCGAGACGACCGGCTTTTCATATAGGAGTGCCCCCCGAATCAATCGCTGGTCAAGAATGCACCCTTGTAGGATGCCTGTTCTCGTTCCCTACAGATCCCCTACATAAAAACCTTACCCGGTCCAAATAATGAAATCAGGATTGGGTTCGATGTCCTTCATGGCGAAGACTGACGAGTTAATGAGGCGCCAAGGTGAGTCGCACAAATAATTCCCCCATTTGCCAGTTCGGTTGGGCTTCTGGGTATCAGGCGTCTGTGAATTGCAGATCTTGTCTGGGTCAGTGGGGAACTGGTAAGTCTTGTCATAGTGAAAATCTGTCACCTGCCAGAAGCTTCCTATAAATGTAAACAAGGAGTCAATACGGGATTTTAACTATCCCAACACTGATATTGAAATAGAGCGCTTTACATTGTACAAGTGTGACGTGACGCTTTTGAACCCTAATTGAGACGTGACTGGTGGACAGTGTTGTGTTACAGCGTATTATCTGCTATATTCTACGCGATTTGAGCACAATTTAAGGATGGTTTTGAAGTAGAACCTATTACATAGCACCCGCAACACGCTTTAGTCATATGAACAACTCCATTACTACTAAATCAAAAGCTTCAATAGCAATACTAATTAGATAGATGGTATGCATTTAAATCAGTATTTGAATTCTTCCGCGCTACTGCACCGTAAAGGAAGTTTGCATTTTTCGTCCAAGGAAATCTTAAAGTATTTTACTATTTATCAACGCATCGCATTTCGACTCGTCTTGCGAAATATTGCTCCAAGATTTTACTGCTACAGTTATAGCAGTCTGATGACCTTCACGTGGGAAGCACATCAAGACTAATCAAAATATCCTATTCGATGAATGTAGCCACACATCTGCTAGATAATAAAGCAAGTTACACGTACATGCACAAGTTGATCAGTCCTAGAATTAAAAGAATTATCATATAATAGTAGTTTTTACCTTCCTCCAGAACTACGGGCTTCAACTGTAAGAAAAAGATCAGGAGGGCTAGAGCCTTTTTCATAATGATTTCGCTGAGTTACGCAGATAACTTCCGCGTGGTCAAATCAGCTTCTGCAGGTTGTTCGTGATGATGTTGTATTATCTGTGCGATAAATACCAACACTGGAAGTAATAGAAAACTTTAAAGGTGAGACATTAAATAAATATGGAGCAAACTCTGATCTGAGTCGACGAGTGTCTTCCTTCTTTCCCAGAAAGGAAGAGATATGGATATCGTTTCGAAAGTTAAAATAAACACCCAATGATATTATGCAGTCACATCACGGACGTCACGCTGCACTGCGTCAACAAGTCAGGGACAGGGTGACGGCTCTTTGACTTGTACGTTCAATTTGTGAAATAATAAACGAGTTTCTATTGTTTGTTTGTTTGTTTATATCTTATATTATGGGATGTATTTTCTTTACTTTTCTTGTTATGCATTGCCAGGAGGATAATTTCGTGGTGGGAAGGATGGGGCGGGGAATTCCTAGAAAAATTGGATAGTGTGCAGCCCGCTTCCCAAAACTGTAACCCTATTTAAGACTAAAATCTTCGACTTTTTAAAGACCTGACCCTTAAATCAATACCCTGTTTCAGACGGGCCTTATTAAGTACAAAAAAGTAGTTGCCAACTGCAGACCACTGTGAAGGGCTTTTGTTGATGGTCTTATCGATAATGAAGAATGAATTAGCTTGTTCTAAAAAACCATACCCAATTCAAGACTGGAATGAAAAACCATACCCTCTTTGAGACCACAATGGCCAAAATCGATACCCCTATTTCTGAATAAAACGGCTAATAAACCATATCCTTTGAGCCGCACAACATACAATATAAAACAACACAATACTTTATTTAGCCACTTCACGTCTAAGAGGTGTCAGGAGCTTATCACATGGAGCTGTACAAACTCATATGGCCATATAAGGGAGTACTCCCGAGGGATAATTTCGCGCGCCAGCCTATCAATACTTGGCCGTACTTTTCATACCTCATTGCTGTTTAAGACATATCATACTAACGTCTGTGTATTCGCAATCATCTGATCATTTTTTTTTTTTTTTTTTTTTTTTTTTTTTTTTTTTTNCCCGTTCAGGCTGATATTGTCATAAAGAGAAAGACTTCTTAGCACAAGCAGTCTGCTGAAAAGTTAAATGTTTACTAAGTATCTTATGAACCAAGCGCAAGGGCCGTAATGGAAGAATATCGGCCTGAGGCCTTGACAGTACCGTACCGAGCGCAAACATTTAAACAACTTTTTTTGAGCCACAAAGTTACAAAGAGCAATGTTATCTCATGATTTCGAGTAAATTGTCTAAATTCTCCCTACCCTTTCCCTTTGGTGTGAAATTCTCAACTCCAATGACAAACACCGACGTGACACTTCTGCCGCTCGGGTACATCAACCTGTCAAATGCTTCGTGTACGTCCGTTGAGGACGCAGGAGTGGGGGTGAGGGGGGGGGGTGGGGGGGGAGCGGTGGAAGACTCTTCATTTTACGTTGCCTGCTCTAGGCTCTCGGTCAGTAGTGACCACGATCGAAAAAGCGGGCGTCCGACGAGCGGGGCCTACTTGCTTCCTCAGACCTCGTTCGTCGTTCGCCCGCTTTTCCGATCATCCGTACTAACCCATAGCCTGAAACAGGCTATTTTCTCTCCTCTTTCAGATATATTTTGCTGACTGTTTTATCTCGTGCAACGTGGCGTAGTTACAGGAGATACTCTGACGCAATCTAAGTCTCTTACTCATCGAATTGTTGGTTAGCCAAATGCAATGCATGCTAAGCTCTGAAAGAGTTCAAAATAATTCTTTAGCACCTGACTGAGGTTGTCGACAAGTGTCTTGATATCTGATATCAGCAGTCGAAAATCTTGTGTAAAAAAATGTATGTGGGTAATTTTTACTTAAATTCCGATTTCTGACATGCTATTGACATATTTTGTACAATAGAATAACTTACTTAACTGGAATGCGATCATAAGAAACTGGACTTATCTACGTGACAAAGCGCAACAAAACTAATTGAGATTTCACCCAATACGCATTAGGTCTGTTAGTTTTGTAGTGCCCTTATGGGATTAAAGTAAACAGTTTCATTAAAGCATACAGCAGCATTTCCTAGAACTGGCATTCTTGATCTTCAAGAAACTTAAAAGGATCTTGGCTTGAACCGCAGAGTGATGGTGCAGAACTGTTTGTTTCATGAAAAGAAGGAGTGTAAACAGGTTTGCCTCCACCTCCTCCAGAATTATGCTGCTCCCATTGCTTACCAATGGCGTGAGAATCAGTTCTGACCGCCTGATGAATTGGAGGATACGGTGGATTGCTTCCGCTTGCACCTAGAGAGTTTCCTTCTACCAGACAACTGGCAGGCTGCTGGCCATTGATAGACGCAGTTGTCGTATCATTCACTGCTTGATGAATCGGAGGATATGCTAGATTAACTCTGCTTCCATCTGAAGAAGGTTCTTCGATTTCTGGTCGTTGAGCAGTTTTTGCAAATGAACCGTCTTTGACCGCTTGGTGGATTGGAGGATATGCTGGATTAATACTCCCTTTACAAGGAGTATTTTCTAATTCTGGTTGCTGTCCAGAGTCTTGTGTGGACAAATCTTCTCTGACTGCCCGGTGAATAGGAGGATACGCTGGATTCTCTCCATTAGCACCTGACTGAGGTTCATGACCAGTGCCTTGTGTAGATGAATCCTCTCTGACTGCCAGGTGAATAGGATACGCTGGATTATTTCCTGACTGAGGCTGATGACCAGTGTCTTGGGTAGATGAATCTTCTTTGACTGCCTGGTGAATAGGGGAATACGCTGGATTATTTCCATTAGCACCTGACTGAGGCTGATGACCAGTGTCTTGGGTAGATGAATCTTCTTTGACTGCCTGGTGAATAGGGGGATACGCTGGATTATTTCCATTAGCACCTGACTGAGGCTGATGACCAGTGTCTTGGGTAGATGAATCTTCGTTGACTGCCTGGTGAATAGGGGGATATGCTGGATTCTCTCCACGAACACTTGACTGAGGCTGATGACCAGTGTCTTGTTCAGATGAATCTTCTCTGACCGCCTGGTGAATAGGAGGATACGCTGGATTATCTCCATTGGCACCTGTCTGAGGCTGATGACCAGTGTCTTGAGTGGGTAAATCTTCTCTAACTGCTTGGTGAATAGGAGGGTACGCTGGATTGTTTGCAATTGCACCTGACTGAGGCTGATGACCGATGTCTTGTGCAGATGAATCTTCTCTAACTGCCTGGTGAATAGGAGGATACGCTGGATTATCTCCATTGGCACCTGACTGAGGCTGATGACCAGTGTCTTGTGCAGATGAATTTTCTCTGACTGTTTGTCGAATAGGAGGATACGCTGGATTCTCTCCCCTGGCACCTGACTGAGGATGATGACAAGTGTCTTGTTCAGACGAATCTTCTCTAACTGCTTGGCGAATAGGAGGATACGCAGGATTGTTTGCATTAGCACCTGACTGAGGTTGACGACCGATGTCTTGTGCAGATGAATCTTCTCTGACTGCTTCGCGAATAGGAGGATACGCTGGATTGTTTGCATTAGCACCTGACTGAGGTTGA